GTTAGTTTGATTGTTAGCATGAGTAGCTAAATCTAGCTGATTTGTTAGCTAGATGAAGATGGAACTCATGAATTAGTTAATTGATTATGGATTCTTTTACTTGGTTAATTGCTTGTGTTTGATTGTTTATACCTAGCATGTTAGAATTTAATGCTTAGATTGCCTTAACTCATGTTCTGTGTAGTTTAGTGAATACTGAATTGCATGAACTTGACACCTAGTAATTTAGTGACAATTGAATTGCTAGAGCTAGGATAAAGCCATTCTTAGTAAAGTAATTGGAGTATTAGTTTTGGTTGTGCTAGAGAACATATATCGTGATTATAATATGGTGTTTGCCTAATCAATCTTACATAGCTCCAATCTTTTCAATCAATTGATTATGTGTTAAATTATGTGTGATTATGAATAGATCTACATGAATTGATTCAACATTAGTAAACTTGGACTCGAATTGCTAATAATATATAAATTGGTAACCAACTGGAATTGCCCATAGTTAATAGCTAATCATTGAGTGAAAGTGGATTCGAACTAACAGAAGTATTTTTAATATTTGATTGAATTAGTTGTTGAGAATTTAAGTTTATCTAAACTTGCAAAATTAGATAAAAACAATTTAACTTTAGCTAAAATTTTAGGTTAATTTGTCACACCCCCAAATTGGAACGACGGAAACGTTCGGGGGCGGATGACGTCATGTACAGTATCACAACAATTGCATAATAGTAATCAAAGTACAACAACCATTACATTGATAAAATATAGTTTTACATTCATGTTCAAATCAATGTATACTTGATATCAAAATGTATAGCAAAAACTAAAAGACATGAGTCTATGAAGCTCCGTCTTCTCAAAACCTGTGGATACTTGTTTATTGATTTCCTGAGAATACAAGTAGTTTTGAAAAGAGTGTCAACAATTAAGTTGGTGAGTTCATAAGCATGTTTGTAATTGAAATCTGTCATTTGTTCCTTGAAAATTTAAGTATGTTTTCCCAGAAAATCCTATATTTTTTTGTTGTAATGTGTTGTAGTCTTAATACCCTAAGACCAAAACGTGTAAATGTCAATGAACTCTGAGTTATTATAATGTAGTTTTAATTCACATAAAACCATGAAAAATATGTTTTCTCTGTACTGGAATAGTATTCACATAAAACCATTAAATTTTGATTTTAACTTCACCTTTTGACTTATGTTGACTCATAACATCTTATATAAACACATATATATGCATAAACACATATATATGCATGGCTTTCAATATAAGTATCTACAACTTATATAAGTATTGTTTTCAATGTGTAAATATACATATTAACATATATAAGTATGTCTTCTTGGCATCTTAAAGTTCTTATTGTATTATTGTTATGGTGTTAATTCACTTGTACCTGGTTGTAGTTTAGACTTTTATTCGAATAAGTTCGAATTACATTGACTTGAAATAACGGGTTGTTACATAATTTAATAGTAAGTAGGTTAATTAATTGAAACTGTTCCTTTTGTGCTATACTATACGCGAAAGGGTACACTGCCCTGGGTCGAATAGCTAGTAGAATAGGAGGTAAAATTAGGTGTAGCTGTTTTAGACGCATCAGTCGTGATTACGATTTGTGGTTTAAGCATTTTTCGGGTATTTCCATTCCAGAGGAAAGGGCCCGACTTGACTGCACAACATCCCCCGATGGATTTTCCGCATTGATTACTTTTGATACACTCTGATATTTGAAAATACAATTCATTCTGATTGATTTTGACACAAATGGTTGTATGGAATTAGTGGTTTAAAAATGAAAATTTTACTACTATTTTTGGGACGTTACAAATATAATATATTAAAAATAATAGTTATTAATATATAATAATACAATAACAAAAGTATTCCAATAAAAAGAAATAAAAAGAGAACTAATTCAAAGAATGAATGTATAACTAGTGTATAATCCCGTGGTGAACCACGGGTTACGTTAGTGGCAGACGTTTGGTAGTAGTAATAGAGCACAAACGGGTGTTGATGACGAAAATCGAATCCTGAAATTTGGTCGAGAAATTGTTTGAAACGTCAAACCCCAGCTTAGAGACATCATTCAAAATAATAGATGGTGGTGGGTTTTGTCTTGGGAAAGTAAGACAGTGAAAACATAGATGGACGAAAGAGTGAATGTTCCAAAGTTATATTGTGAAACTCTTTTATTCATGAAGTTTACTCTAAGCAGTTCGTAAAGATATTGCTTTTGCAACCTAGAATAGACTTGCTATTCTGTACGACATGAACAAAAGAATGCTCCAATAGATACCAACATTTCTCACTCACACGACTATAAGCATGAACAATAAACACACTAAAAACAACAAATCGAAAAGTAAATGTTATTTGATATCAAACAAATTCTTAGATACAATAGAAGATTAATATGGACGAAAAGCAATATAATAAAGGGACTATACTTTAAGTGTAAGTATTTTTTGAAAATATCAAATAGTTTTACTCGTTTTTGGCATGTGTTACTTCGTCCGCGTCGACGTGGTTTTTGTATTTCTCTCGTTTGGGACGTGGTTTTTTTGGTGTATCTGTGAAATGTAAGATGTTGGTTACGTGTTAGCAATAAGTAAACTGCTATATGTCGTTTTTACCTGTATGTTCCATTTGGAGGCGTTTTCCAATTTCACGTGATTTAGTAGGGGTGAGGGACTCCATAGTTGTGGTGGTTTGTGGTTCCATTGTTGTTGAAGATGTAGCTTGTGTTTTTCATGTTGTTATGATTGTTAGTTGTGGATTTTCTATGTCAATGATTATGGTGACTGTGAAACGGATATTGTGTTTTCCGTCTAGCATTACAAAATACGGTTAAGGGCAGTATTGTCCTTTGGTGAAAATGCAATATAAAATCATAGAATATGATTAGGGGTTTATGTGTATCAATATGTAAGACAGATAGGAAGTTATGAATCATTTTTTTCTTAGCTTTTATTAGGTAAAATTGCTTCTAACATTACAAAAAAAAAGGTTAGTGGCATTATTGTCATTTCAGAAAATGCATGGTAAAATCCGTCTAAAATTTAAAAGTACATTAATATGACTTGATTGTTAATTGGCATGGTGTATGGTTTTAGAAATCAGTAGCAGATTAGGATCCACAATATAACAATATACTTTATATCTTTCCATATTACAACAACATGCTTTCATTTATTGAGTAATGGTTATGGTTACTACAGAATGTAATGAGAAACGTACCTTTTACTGACCTTTTTTTTCATAAATTTACTGATATAAATGCTTTTTATTTTACCTAAATTGTTTAAAAGGTTTTGAAAATTTTGTGATAGAAAAGCTATAAAGGGTAATTTTGTCATTATTACTTTTATATGCTTTAACTGATACACAAAGCAAGCAAAATTTTAGAAAAGATTAGAAATTTTAGAAAGGATTAGAATCCTGCCGACCAATTGGTTGAATGATCTTAATCCCTTGAGATTCCACAATGATGGTATTCTGATCAAGGTTGTTCCACGGTTTAGGTCAAATAATTGGGTTGTTACTAATCAAGATATTAAAAACACATGGCTTCAACATGAATATAGATAAGTTTATAATGTCTTCTTTGTGTTATTCCCATAGATGAATATATTTCTTGCTCTTGATCACTTGCCATCAGAAGGTCATACAATTATATACATTGAAAGATAAACAAGTTCTTATGTCTATGGAGGCCAAGCATGAAAAATCAAATACTACCATGGTCTTCACAGAAAGGGTTCTTAAAATAGCAAAGATATCTGGTTAGAACTATGCTACCATGATTAAAATGAGATTAACTTGTAAATTTTTTTCCTAAAAAAAGAGTGGGAGGCTTCGTTTAACAAAAACAGAACGAACATCAATTATATAGAAAACAATATTAGACATACCGAATTTTAAACAATAACGTAGAACATGCGTTTGGTGGCTGATGTTTTGTTGTCGGAAATTGATGGCTGACTAGGTTGGTGACAGAACTAAATCCTGATTCTTGGACGGGATATTGATAGTGAAACCCAAAAAGTCGGAGACATCGCTAAAAAACACAACACAAAAGGATTAGCAAGCAGAGCAACTGAACCAAAATAATAAGGAAATTGAAAGAACCAACAACATACCGAAATTCCTCATATAGGCTGAAGTATGGTGGCGGTAATTGACTGCAGACGTGTTGGTGACAGAAATCGAATTCTGATTCGTTTGACGGAAATCGTCGATTGTCAAACCCAAACAGTCATAGACGTCACTCAATAACACAGAAGGATTAGAAACAGGAGCAATTGAACAAAAATCATAAGGTAATTGAATGAACCAACAACATACAGGGTAGATGCGGTTCGTTGCGGGCGTTTATTGGCGACAATAGAGTGTAGGAGGTTGTCACTGAGGTATCGATTTCCTTTCTTGTTGGATGAGATCGTAATCCTCTATTTTTGGATAAGATTCGGTGGGAGAATCAAACGATCACAATCGCCAATTTCTCTATTTTTGGATGAGAAGTCGATGAAAAAGAAAGGGGTGGAGGATTTTACAATCTGATAGTCTGTGTTAAGAAGTTGTAAATGTATAAGGACGAAATTGAAGTTTTGTACAAAGTGATGCGGTAAAAGTCTAAAACTTGACAATTTTACTGTTCGGAGACGTGTTAGGATTTAATATATGTATATAATAATTGAATAGAATTAAAATGAAGATATGCAAAAATAGTCTTTGTTGTTTGGTTGCAGAAATGGTCATGCAGGTAAAACTGTCATTTTAAAAACGTTAACAGTCATGCTGTTCAAGTTAACATTTTTGAACCAAAACGTATAAGGTATCCAAAATTGCATCACTTTTGCACCACAAAACATTTTTGGACCAAAACCAAATAATTTTGATGAACACTAGGACTATTTTTGTAATTTTGTCTTAATTGGATAACTAAAAAATTAAAAATAATAGTAATTAATAATACAGATATTAAAAAAACAGAGCCACAATTTAAATTTATATTTATATATGTAAACTAAATTTTAGTAAAAACATTCAAGTACATTGCTATTTGGAATAATTTATGGAAGGTTTATTAAGGTGAAAGCAATATAAAAAGGAAACATGATCGAATAGGTTTCAAATTAAAATAACACAAATCATATCAATGGTCGTGTTCTTTTCTCTCTTCCCCTGTTACACAAAATAAAAAAATAGATATGTTACTTTTTTGAACTTTAAAATTGGTGTAACTTCAATTAGACCTAGTTTGATATACATGTTGGAGGCCCCCATGAACATATTTAACACCATTTTATGTATAAAAAATATCAAACACTCTACATATGTAACATATGAAACAATATTTTTACCTATTGGGGTTTGTTGGGTTGGTTTTGACCGGGTAGGATGCAAGTGTGGCTATTCCACATTTACCGGTTGTCTCTTCTACATTGCGCTTCAATCTTATGTAGCCTTCCTCACCCCAACCTGAACCCCATGAGTTCCTCACGAGCCAGTAGTCATTACCATCTTCGGTCCCGTAGCCAACTACAACTAGACCAGCATTCGCAGAGGATCCACATAGACCATCATAGATACCCTGACAGAATTAATCTAGAAACAATTAACAACGACTTACTCCAAAAACTAAAATTTCAACCAAGTATACATCTACAACTTGTTTTTCTTTCCATTTCTCCAAATGTATCATCATTTTCTAGAAACAAGCAGTCTTACAATTGTAGGTGTAATTCTAGAATATGGAAAGTACAAAGTATAAGGAAAGTTTGTATAAGTCTAATTAGAAAGTTTTGCTTGGTCAACAAGTCTAGGAAAGTAAGTAGCAGGTCACGTTTTTGGTTTCCTATAAATAGGTGTATTTGTCTGTCTCTTTTTTTTATCAGCTTAAGAATAAAGCAGTTAAGTTTTCGAACTGTTCCATAGTTTTGATATCGTGCCTGTGTGCAGTTTTTCCTTCTTGTTACTCTCTTCTTTGCTTTCTTCCTGTTCTTAACAGCAGGTTAATTAGAGACTATACCAACATTTGGTATCAGAGCGAATCTGGTGCATTCCACTGTATCAACCAAGTAAGATACAATGGCAAACAAATAAGGACAAGTCTCAATTCAATACCCAATGCTGTCAAGAGAGAATTACGCAGCATGGGCGATTAAGATGAGAGTGTTCCTACAGGCTGCAAACGTGTGGGAAGCTGTTGAGCCTAAAGAAGTTGATCCTAAAGCTGCTGATCCTAACGTTGTTGTCGATGGAAGAAAAGATAAGTTGGCTATGGCAGCCATCTATCAATCCATCCCAGAAGATGTGTTGCTTTCATTAGCAGAAAAGCAAACAACAAAGGAACTTTGGGACACCCTGAAAACAATTTATATGGGCGCCGATCGTGTGAAAACTGCCAAGGTACAAACACTCAAAGCAGAATTTTAGTTGTTAAGAATGAGCGAATAAGAAACCATGGACGACTTCTCAACGAAAATTGGGAATATTATGAGCAATATTCGTGACCTTGGAGAAACAATGGAAGAATCATACATCATGAAGAAAATCTTGTGATCGGTGTCATCAAAGTTCGTTCAAATCGCATCCACGATCGAACAATTCGGTGACCTTGATGTAAAGACGTTTGAAGAAGTGGTTGGAAGGCTGAAAGCACATGAAGTTAGGATCAGGATTTATCAAGAATCTGATGAAAAGAAACTCTTGTTAACCCATGAAGAATGGACGGAACGTAACAAGAAGAAACACCAGGAAGACTCAAAAAATAAACACTGAAAACAAAATAATAATTGTGGTGCAAAGGGAGGACGCGGTCGAGGAAAAAACAATGACAGCAACTCGAACAAAGGAAGAAGCGGTGGCTACAATCAAAACAAAGGAGCACAAAGTTCATCCCAAACACGAGATAAGACAAAACTGCAATGTTATAACTGTCAAGATTTCGGTGATTATGTCGTCGAGTGCAAGAACCCCCGACGGAAAAGAAACTATGAAGCTAATTTAACGAAAAATCACAATGATGGTGAATCGACACTCTTTCTAGCAGCCCTCCACAAAGAAGTAGTAAACGGGGAAGTTCTCTTAAATGAAGACAAAGTAACACCAAAATTAAGTCGGAATGATCACAAAAAATTCAAGTCGTCATTATGGTACCTCGACAACGGAGCGATTAACCATATGACCGGAGAAAAAGGCAAATTCCGAAAGCTTGATCAAACAACGAAAGGTTTTGTGAAGTTTGGCGATGTTTCAAAGGTTCCAATTGAGGGAAGGGCTCGATCGTCTTTAAGAGCAAAAATGGTGAGTCTCGTATGCTAAAAGAAGTGTATTACATTCCAAGATTGTGTAACAACATCATTAGTTTGGGTAGTTAGTAGAACATGGTGATCAGATTGTGATGCGTGGATCATATTTCTGGATCCATGATGCACAATGAAGGCTAATAGTAATGGTTCAACAGTCAAGTAATCGACTATACAAAACAAACCTTGAAGAAGAAGAAAATGCATGCTTTCTTGGAGAAGATGGTGAGTCGGCGTGGCTCTGGCACAAACGAGTTGTCCATGTAAATTTCATAGCATTGAAGCATATGGCAGACACAAAACTTGTGAATGGCATACCTAAAATCAAGCATGTGTGGTGACAAAGAAAACCCGGAAGTCATATCCAAAGCAAGCCAAGTTTAAAGCAAAATAAAGACTTGAACTCGTGCACGAAGATTTGTGTGGTCCGATATCACCACCTATGCCAACAGGAAACACTTATTTCATGCTACTTGTAGATGATTATCCTCTAGTCATGTGGGTGTATATGCTAAAAAATAAAGATGATGACTTGGATGTGTTTAAAACCTTCCGAGCTCGAGTTGAAGTTGAAACAGGAACTAAACTAAAAACACTACGCCCTGACCGGGGTGGTGAATTTCTCTCAAATAAGTTTACAGCATATTGCAATGAAACCGGTTTATACCATCATTACACAACTCCCTACTCCCCGCAACAAAATGGGGATGTTGAAAGACGTAACTGAATGGTGGTAGAGATTGCGCGAAGCAACTTAAAAGGCATGAATGTTCTTGATGTCTTATGGGGAGAAGTCGTTAATCATGTTGTGTATGTATTAAATCGCATTCCACAAAAGCATTGAAAAATGTTACACTGTACGAGCTCTGGACCGGACGAAAGCCTAATATCAATCACCTGAGGGTGTTTGGATGTGTTGCTTATGTAAGGGTGGCTGGAACACACTTAAAGAAACTTGATGATAGGAGTAAGAAGATGGTCCATTTGGGAGTTGAAAATACGGGCTCGATTCGTGTGAGTAGGGATGTGACGTTCGAAGAAGGAAAAGAATGGAATTGGAATAATTCTTTGAAAATCAAAAGTACTCCCGGTACAATATTTACATTTGATATTTTACTAGAAGAAAATGAAGAACATGAACAACTCGAACCGTTTGAACAAGATGACAACTCATATGAACTAAACGATCTGAATGAAAGCTTAATCAACACCCCTCAAAACAGTCCCAATACCCAAAGCAATCCTCATTCTTCGAGTTCAAGCTCACCCGAAAGCGAAAAACCACTAAGATATCGAAGTTTAGCTGATATATATGATGACTGTGATGAGCTGTTATTTTTGCAGGATGATGAACAACCTTCAAACTTTACAAATGAAAGTGAAAGTGAATATTGGATGAATGCAATGAAGATTGAGTTATAAATGCAATTGAAAGAAACAAAACATGGAGTCTAGTCGAGTTACCAAAATGAAGAAAACTGATAGGCCTCAAATGGGTTTATAAAATAAAGCGAGCTCCGGACGGGAATTTTTTGAAGTACAAAGCAAGCTTGGTTGCAAAAGGATATATTCAAAAACAGGGAGTAGATTTCGATGAAGTATATGCACTTGTAGCCCGGATAGAAACCATACTCATTCTAGCACTTGCAACCACAAATAGGTGGATTATACATCATCTTGATGTAAAATCAGCCTTTTAAATGGGAATTTGGAAGAAGATGTTTATGTTACACAACCAGAAGAATTCGTAAAGCAATACAAGCCAAAACAAGTGTACAAGTTGGCAAAAGCTTTGTACGGGTTACGCCAAGCTCCACGAGCATGGAATTCTCGCTTAGACAAATATCTAAAAGGAATTGGTTTTGTAAGATGTCCACTAGAGTATGTTGTCTACACAAGGAAAAAGGATGGAAACGTGTTAATAGTCGTTGTCTATGTCGATGATCTCATTGTCACCGGGGCTCATAACAATGAAGTAAAAAGTTTCAAACAACAAATGAGTAAGGAGTTTGAAATGAGCGACCTTGGGAAGTTATCTTATTATCTAGGCATCGAAGTACATCAACACAATGAATGTCTTACATACACTGAAACAATCGGCCTATGCAACAAAAGTACTCAAGAAAGCTGGAATGTTCGATTGCAATCCATGTAAGTATCCCATGGAACCAAAGTTACAGTTGACTAAAGACGAAGAAGGTGAAACTGTAGATCCTACCTCATACCAAAGCATTGTAGGAGGCCTTAGGTACCTGACAAACACTATACCGGATATAGCTTATTCGGTAGGAATCGTAAGCCGTTTCATGGAGAGGCCAACTAAGCAACATCAACAAGCTGTAAAACATATACTAAGGTATATCAAAGGAACTATTGATTACGACTTGAAGTACAAGAAGAATGGAATGGAAAATGTTGTAACAGGGTACACCGACAATGTTAAAACATATACTAAGGTACACCGACAATGATTTAGCAAAAGATCGGAACGACAGACGAAGTACTACTGGAATGGCATTCTACCTAAATGAGAACCAATTGTCACTTGGAACTTACACAGAAGTGTGTTGCGTTATCTTCGTGCCAAGCAGAGTTCATGGCAGCAACAAGTGCAACGTGTCAAGGAATATGGATCTGTCGATTACTAGGGATGATAACAAAGAAAAGAGTAAGTCCAATCGTGCTGCAGGTGGACAACATATCAGCTTTGGATTTGATGAAAAATCCAGTGTTCCATGGAAGGAGTAAGCACATTGACACTCGTTTTCATTTTATTCGTGAGTGTGTTGAAAGAGGTGATGTAGTTGTAAGACATGTTGGCACAAATGAATAAAGAGCTGATATCTTGACAAAGTCAATGGGAAGAGTCAAATTTGAAAGTATGAGAAAATTGCTTGGAGTTGAAGAGATAAGAATTTATGAATTACAGGGGAGAATGTAGGTATTCTAGAATATGGAAAGTACAATGTATAAGGAAAGTTAGTATATAAGTCTAATTAGGAAGTTTTGCTTGGTCAACAAGTCTAGGAAAGTAAGTAGAGGTTACGTTTTTGGTTTCCTATAAATAGGTGTATTTGTCTGTCTCTTTTTTTTATCAGCTTAAGAATAAAGCAGTTAAGTCTTCTTCCTGTTCCATAGTTTTGATATCGTGCCTGTGTGCAATTTTTCCTTCCTGTTACTCTCTTCTTTTGCTTTCTTCCTGTTCTTAACAGCAGGTTAATTAGAGACTATACCAACAACAATTACTCATATTCATAAAAAGATACCTAATTTTTAATGATATTATTTTCCACCACAAAATGACAACCCTTGGGGCTCAAGCCCTCAACCAACAATATTCCATGGAGAAACAGTCAGAAAGATTAACCATTAGTTAGTTATTAAACTTTGGGCATTCCTGATTCATTTTTGTTCATAATAGGATTATGACATGTTTTTGAACTTGTTTCACTAAATTCAAAGATCATGACAACTGACAATAATAGAGGGATTACTTACCCTATCATAGAACTGGAGATCCATGTCATCCATTTCCATAGCAGCAGCTATAGGCTGGTTTGCAACGGCCTTCTGTAATTCTGATTCGTTGCCCTCAGGAACATCTTCAAAACTATCAATGGAAACAACGTTTTTGTGTTTCTGCACAAATTGGAAACTCAGAATATAAACAACAGGAATCATATTAATAATCAGTTTTTATCAGTAGAAGGATATATTTATGATACGGACCTTGCATTCTCCACGCTCAGCCGTGTAGGGATAGTCTTTGTCAGTGTCTATACCGCCATTCTCGATGATGAACTTAAAGACATCAGTCATAGAACCGCCGTCGCATCCATGGTTGTTTGATTTATCACAATCAATGATTTGTTGTTCTGATAGTGTGATCAGATCACCTGTCACGATCTGGTTTATCCCTTCCACTGCTCCGATCGCTGAGAATGCATAATCACTACCTTCAATTCAACAAACTAACATCATTAATTCCATGCATGCGCCATATATATATAACCCAATTTATAATCTTTAATTTTATGAACATCGATCATTAGTAGCACAAACAATTAATAAAACGTGCCAAAAAATAGTTATGACTCACCACATTGTTGTTGATTTTTTATGTCAGCGACAGCACCTTTGCTCCTCCAGTCAACGGAATCAGGCAGGATATCATCGTCATCAGAAAGAGGAGAGTAGCGGTTAGTCGTCACCTTGTTAGACTTCCGTTTAGGAATGGCGCGGGTGTAGCGTAACCGGTACTCATCATTAGTCAGATCTGAGAACTTGTTGAGTGCAAGCTTGTAGGAATGATCACCAGAGTTGTGGTCTCCTATGTACCTGAGGTTGTGTTTGAAGATCTGAAACCTCTTCTCCTTCTCTCCCAACGTGTTGTAATAAAGTTTACCATGTTTGACCAGCCAGGACTCGTACATAGCTTGGACCTCGTCGTCGGTGCGCCACCTCGACGCCAATGCATGGGAGGTGGTCACGAAGAGAGCAGTAAACAAGAAAATCGCCATTGGAAAGAGCTTCATTGTTGAAGCTTTATATATTGTGTTGGAATTAATAGAGAATTTAAGATGAGAACGATGGCGATGGAGTACTGTAAAAGGTGACAGGAGGGAATGGATTTATAATATTGGGTGGGAGGGAAATTCTCATGGGAACACATGCATATTTGAATATTATTATTATTATTATTATATATTGTTAAAATACATGTTTAAATAACTTAAAAATGTGTCGACGAGGACGGATCTAATAAAGACTAGGAGAAGGTGCATGGGTCATGAGGCCCACCTTTTTTTTATAATATATATATATATATATATATATATATATATATATATATATATATATATATATATATA